TATATATAAGCTATTTGATTAAAAAAATCAGGTTTTCATGTTTTATTTGTATGTGTCTAGTCCTTCGACAAGCAGCAACATCCCTCTGATGCGAGTGGTCCAGTCCATCAAACATACCAAGAGACGGAGCTCCACTATGGTAAAGGAGGGCTGGATGGTTCATTATACGAGCAGAGACAACCTGGTAAGACTGATGACCCCAAACATCTAAACAGATGAGTTAGTGGCTGTGCTTAGTCTGTAAACTCCTTTGTCCATACTTTTCTGAGTTTATTTCTGCACGTTTGTACCTTCTTCAATAAAAACTTACAACTTTGTATTAGTAGTAATTGTTTCAAACTATGTAATTTATTTATTTTTTTTGTCTTCTTTAACAGCGGAAGAGACATTACTGGAGACTGGACAGCAAGAGTTTGAGTCTTTTCCAGAACGACACCGGAGCCAAGTTCTATAAAGTAAGCTTAAACAATAAAGATTCATTAAAATTTTTTAGGAAACCGTTAATCCAGATGCAGTTTGAGAATTAAGTAAACTATTTCTCCAGTGTGAAAGTTATTTTCATTGCTCTAAAGTTGTGCTTCTCAAACTGGGGTTCCCAGACCCCCGGGGGTCCGCGAGCCAATGCTTGGGGGTCCACAAAAAAAAAAAAAAAAAAAAATTTTTTACAAGTACGTAGATGTTTAACAACCTGTTAAAATACACCAAAATGCAGGAAATCGCATCTATTTTATTCAAGATTTTAAAAAGTAAACTTTAAAGTTGTAAAGTGTTTTTTTTTACTGTTATTTTTCTCAAAACTGGAATTTTTTGGAAGTTGAAATTAAAAATGTTGTTAAGTGCGTCTTGAATGAAACATGCCCCACGTTTACAAGTATAAAAACCGTATTAACACTATTAAAGAACAGGTCTTAAGTATTTATGTTACACAAATATTTCCATTGCATTAAAGAGACAAACTGAAGACAATAATTTAACAAACATGAGGGTTATGAGGGGGATCCCTGAAACTTTTTCTCCCCTGTAACGTGTCCCTAAACCCAAAACGTTTGAGAACCCCTGCTCTAAAGAACTAGAAATTAGCTTTAAGTATTTTCAACGGTGGCACAAATATTTTGTGTGAATGTTTTCACCCTTGCGTGGTATGTAAATCAAAGCCATTGGGAGCTGTGTGACTCAGCTTAAGAGCGTCCGTGTTGCAACTGTAAACTACTGTGAGGTCACCGCCAGACTGCTGAAATTTCCCCTGTGCTTTTTCCTTCTGCAGCCCAGTTTCTTCTCTGCATGCTGAAGGGTCACATCACTGACAGTTGTGTTTTAGCTGCTGCTCACTTTACAGATAGAAAATTTAAAATGGCACTCAGAGATCTTTGGCTGTGAGTGAAATGCTGCTATTTAAAGTGTAAAATCAGTTGTGGTGTTTGTGCGACACTTCCCTCTCAGTAGCAGTTCTGTAGTTAGTTATTACTCAGCTGCAGGGGCTATAAAGCAGTCATTATACTTTGAGGACAGAGGGAGGAAACAACAGACTGGAAGGTAAAGGCTTCCCCATGTGGGTTTAAAGGTTTCTGCATATGGAGGAGAGCTGTGCATATTTTGTAGTTAATTTTGCTTTGTGTTTTTTGAGACGCCTCTTTAAACTGTGGTCAAAAGTTTGTAGCAGCAGGATGAAGTGTTCAGTTTTACTCTAGGCTTGAATGTGTGATAAACAGGTGCCTTTGTTTAAACACCAACTCTTATCCTTGCTGTCTATTCGTATTATAGGAAAAAGAGAGGAAAACTTCTCCCTCCCTCCTATCTCAGTTATTCTGTCACACCCTTCAGGCTCTGCCACTAAAGCCCCGGAGAGGAAACCTCAGTGGGGACAGACTCCTGAGGGTGTGTTTACTGACGACTTTATGTGGTTCTTTATTATCAACTTGGCACTCAGCTGCATTTAAAATCTTCAAGGAGCAAATTGAAGGGTTGCTGCAAATTTCTTTTTATTTATCCGCGATGGAAACTATAAGATGATTTCTTGTGCCTAAAGCAGAAAAATATTTTTTATAAAGATTTCTTTTCTGAGGCCACAGATTATTTAGCCTCAGTCTGTATCTAGAAAATGTCCTGAGGATGTTAATTTCTTTGAAGTTTCTTGCGTGCTGCTCATCAGTGTGTGTGGCTACCACTCTCCTCCTTTCTTTATACCTCCAATCTGATTAGTGGTGGTCGTGTGGTGGCTCGCACGCCAGGCATGGCAGCCATTTTCACCATTTGGAAGCCATAAGGGCTCCCCGTTTGAAGATGAGACCCCTGTACTTGTGGCTTCCTCTGCAAATCTTTTTTTTTTTTAATGGGGTGAGGGTTTTTTTTCTGTCTCTGTGCTGTCACTCTGAAACATTGGACCCACACATGCCCACTCACGCGCTTTCCTGTGGGGTGGGAGGGGGACAGTAGCTGCCTTGTCTTTCGTCTCAGGGGCTCGCGGTCGCGCCAGCGGCTCGTGCTCAGATGGGGCCTCTGGCTCGTCCTGCCTTGTAATCAGGGAACCAGAGCACTTCAGCTGCCGCAAAGCCCGATCACGTGACCCGGCCCCGCTAACCACAAGCACTTCACTCGATACTCTGTGGTGAGCCATGCGGAGGGGACAGCGTGCGCCTCTCTGAGCCCCCATTGGTTGGAATCTCTCTGTGTTTTTTGTGCTGTTTGACCCTCCCTCCTGTCTTTGATTTGACTGTGAGTTTAAAGGAGAAAGGGGAACTTTTAGTTGTGCTGCTTTCGGTTTGTGCTCATAAGAGAAAGAAGAGAGAAAGGAGAGATTTTGAGCTTGGACCAAAGACTTGGAAGACTGTTGGGAGAGTGAGTGTCTACCTGTTTGCAGATTGTTTAGCTTGTTATTGTTTCCTTCTTTATTGGTTTTTTTTTTATAACTTGGTCTGTATTTCTGGTGTCATTATTAATCTATTTTTAGTTTCTTTCTAACTATAAGTACAAATATGAATGAACACGTATGTTTGTGTTTAACTTTATCATCTTTACCTCTATGTTTTAGTTAAAACCAAGAAAGAGCAAACTCATGTTGGGTGTAAAGCTTCTTTTTTTCATTCAACTTCTGCGTCTCATCAGTCATCTCTCCCTGCCTTCACAGGAAATCCCTTTGTCAGAGATCCTCCAGGTCGAACCCTTCAGGGACTTCAGTAATCTGGCTCAGGGCAGCAACCCTCACTGCTTTGAGATCATCACTGCCACCATGGTCTACTATGTAGGCGAGAACAACGGCAGTCTCTACCACAGCCCGGTTCTGGCTGCTTCAGGGGTTGGCGTGGAGGTGGCCCAAAGCTGGGAGAAGGCCATCAGACAGGCTCTGATGCCTGTCACCCCTCAGCCCAGCGTAGCCAGTGCTGCTGGTCAGGGCAAAGATCACAGTAAGACAAATTTACCCCCCAAAAAACAATTTTTCAAAGATGGCTTGTTCTTCTATTCTGCAGGACTTGTTTTGCGGTATCACTATGCTGAGTTTGTACTTGTGAGGCTTGTGGCAAATAAAACTTTACTCACGTTATGTCGGTTGTATTTTACCTTCCCTAACATTTGAGAGAAAGGGGAAACCCTGCTTTGTCTAGGCCAAGGGAAGTGAGAGTGTGAAGTCACTGTTTGGAGATTACATGACTGTGCAGAAACTAGGCTTTGCTCTCATTTGTCATGACAAAGATTTTTGTTATTTGATAAAAAAAAAAAACATAAAAAACTTTTTTATTTTTTTAACAGATATGTGGGTCAGTGATTCTCACAATGCTCTTTAGTGGCAAAGAGGAAGTCTGACACTTAAAACTACAGACTTCAATTCAAAACATAGTTCATATATGTTGTTTTAAGTTAATCTATTGAAATGGTTGATTTGTACAAACATAAATTTAATTTATGTGGTCAGCTGAACTGAATGCACACATCTGCAGACAGGCTCTCTGTTCATTGGCCAGTTTGCCTCGATTCCAAGTTTTGAAATGAACTGCATACTTGCACCGTTTAGTCACACATAACTTTTTACAATTCATTGTGTAATAAAATGCTTCATTACGTGAGGCTTTAACTTACTGCATGCAGCTGCATTAGGACTGGGTTTTTTTGTGGGGGAGAAAAATAATAAAAAAGTAATGGAATGTTAAAAATGCACCCTGTGCTGGAATTAGTTAAAGATCCACTTGCTGCTTAATGCTTGAGTAAAATTGTGTTTTTCCAGTTATTGAATGTGGAAACATGTTTTTTTTCTTCCCCCTTCAGAAGAGCTGTCCATCAGCATCTCTGTGTCCAACTGCCAGATCCAGGAGAATGTGGTAAGTGGAGTGCATATTTCTTATGAGAAGCTGTTGCACAATTTCCCAGCAGCAGCAAATCTGCACATTCATGTTCTATTAAAGTAGCTGTTGTGGTAAAAAAAAAACAGAAATTGCATCTTACTGTTGCTTTTAATAACACATCCAGTGGAAGTTGTTCCACTGCATGAATGGGGAAGCTGCATGCATTTTTTTTTACGGGGGGAGGGGGGTGGATGAAGGTCATGGGCTTTTCTATTCAGTTCCACTTCTGCACCGAGTGAAAGTCAAACATCAGGCAATACTCCCAAAACATTTTGGAAAAGCAACAGTTTTGCTAAAGCATTGATGATGTCATTGTTGATGATGCTGGTCTCAGCATGAGACAAAGAAAACACAGTCATTAAGTAACAAACTACTCTATCTGTGTAGGACATTGCCTCGGTGTATCAAATATTCTCTGATGAAGTACTGGGATCGGGTCAGTTCGGCATTGTGTATGGAGGTTTGTTCCTTTCTTTAAATAGTTACTCGTAATTTATTCTGTGGGTAATTGTAAATTGTACTGAATTACATTTTGAATGCTTTTAAAGTTATTCTTTTAACCAAACTGGTATATTTTAGGAAAGCACAGAAAAAGTGGCAGAGATGTGGCCATCAAGGTCATAGACAAAATGCGATTTCCTACTAAGCAGGAGAGCCAGCTACGGAACGAAGTGGCCATATTACAGGTAAATGATAACCCAAAGCTAAAGTACTTGGAATTTAGAAAAACTTGTGTGGAGTTCTTTGTTATACAGATCACCTCCAAATGATTTATCTCCTTTTTGTTAGAATCTGCATCATCCAGGTATAGTTAACCTGGAGTGCATGTTTGAGACCCCGGAGCGGGTGTTTGTTGTCATGGAGAAGCTGCATGGTGACATGCTGGAGATGATCCTGTCCAGTGAGAAGAGTAAACTACCAGAACGGATCACCAAGTTCCTGGTCACACAGGTTTGTGCAGCTGGAAAAGGATCTCTTCACTTCTTCTCTCACACTTTCTTATTTATGATCAGTTTCCTCTTGATTTCTGTTAGTCATGTGCTAATATTAATATTTCGCTGAAAGGTGATCATGTTTTTTCCTTCTTAATTGAACTTAGCAAACACCGGAATGGTTATATAGCACAGTCAGTTTTAGTCAGTTTGAGCTAAATTTTGGTGTGGTAGCAGCTGAGAGTCATTCACAACACATACAACGAGCACTAAACACTGTTCAAGATCTGGTCTTAAAATGTTGGCATTACCTGCTGGAGTCAACTCTGTTTGTCTGTTAGCAAAATATCTCATAAAAGTGGATAAAACTTTCAGAGAGTAATCATTGGTGGCGCATCTACATCTAAACTTTTTTAGTCATCTAATTGACAAGGGCTGTCAACCTTTGCTTAGACAAAAATGTCTATAACGCTATGATTTTTTTCAGATGATGAGATCAAATTTGGCGTGATAGTAGCTGGCAGTTATTCACAACACATAATATACATGCTAACAGATCATATAAGATATTACAATATCACATGGCATTGCACCAAGTGGTATTTACATGGTTTGACATAAACATCTACACTATTTGTAACATTAGATAATCTTGGTTTAAACTCTGGCATTAAAAGTGACAGGCGACATTCATTCCTTCAGTCCACTTAACTTTTGCTTTTAATTCCTCTTGAGTTCTATACTTGTTTGCTTATTTCTTTCCTTGTCATGTTTTGTTCTGTGATGAAGCTCCACGCCATCTTATAGGGCCTGTTTGTTCTAGTTGTGGTGTGCTGATTTAGGGGGGTAAATGTTTACGGTAATGGCATCATGGCCTCCTCTCCAGCTGTGTATTACAGCCTACAGTGTGCTCGCGGCTTCATGGCCTGATTAGAAGAGCCGCGAGGCCCCCAGGTCTTTGTGGATTCTGGGTCCCAAACAGGAGCAAGGCCATTAACAACAACCCCATTAGCGGTAGCGGGCCTGGCTCTGATGTGGCTGCGAAGGACTTTTGTTAAATATGGGGTCAGGATTGGGGAGGCAGGCACATTGTGGTTTTGGTGCAGAGCCATGGGTTTGTGCAGCAAGATCTTATGCCAGGATTTTGAAAATACAGATGAGATGATGAGATCGTATGCCTTTATATTAAGGTGCTGGTCAAGATGGAAGTATTTAAAGGCTTTCTTGTATGCTTTTATTGCCGCTGTATTTCCATATGTCTTCACAGTGGTTTCTATTGCACAGACTCTGTTTATAACATTAATATTTAGATGTATGGAGTGAAATCTGTAATTATTGGACTTGTGTTTCCATCAGATCCTGGTGGCCTTGAGGCATCTGCACTTCAAAAATATTGTTCACTGTGACTTGAAGCCTGAAAATGTACTACTGGCCTCTGCAGAGCCTTTTCCACAGGTAAAAAAAATAGAAATAAAATGAAAAACAGAGCATGGTTTGGTTCCATTTACAGGCGTCTTTGTATTTTATTATTATTTTTTTCTATTTGTATATTGTAGGTAAAGCTATGTGATTTTGGCTTTGCTCGCATCATTGGTGAGAAGTCGTTCCGACGGTCAGTGGTGGGCACCCCAGCCTACTTGGCTCCTGAGGTGCTGCGCAGCAAAGGCTACAACCGCTCCTTAGACATGTGGTCAGTGGGAGTCATCGTATATGTCAGCTTGAGCGGGACCTTCCCTTTCAACGAGGACGAGGACATTAACGATCAGATCCAGAATGCTGCCTTCATGTACCCCCCAACACCCTGGAAGGACATCTCTGCAGAAGGTAGGACAACAGAGTGCAGTCCACCTGTGCCTGGCTTCTGTAAACAGTTGTGGCCTGGTTTCACCTATAGTTTGGTGTCAAACTGAGATTCAGACAGGCATCTCAGGAACTGTTCTCCCCACCTACATGTCTGAACTATATCTGAGTTTTCTCTGTCTGTGGTGGAGATGAATCACTTTCGGTTTTCCTCAGCTGCAGTTCTTCCTACATGCAGTCCACAAAGCTTCTGTTCGCCTGCATCTTTACTTGTCACTGTAACTGTAAATTTAGTTTGTTTATTTAGTCTGAACATCTGTTTTCTTCACAGCCACAGATCTGATCAACAACCTTCTCCAAGTGAAAATGAGGAAGAGGTACAGTGTGGACAAGTGTCTCAGCCACCCCTGGCTACAGGTGACATATTTTCTTCTTTTCTTGTCTTTAATATAACAGCTGTAACTTGACCAAATCTCATATAAGTTTTCTATATAGTAGGGAAACAGGAAATGCTAAGACTTGTTGGTACATCTGTGGTACAAATTTGGCAAATTTTAAATTAGAAAAGAAAACACACTGCTTTCAACTTATTCTGAGGAAAAAAACATTATTTGTTTTATTTATGTGACATCAATTCAAAATAAAAACATCTTAGGTAACCATACAAAGAAAATATTCTTACTAATAATACAGTAATCCCTTGTTTATCACAGGCTTTAGGGGACCACGCCCCCTGCAAGAAGTGAAACCCCCCCCCCGCAATATACGGTAGTCCAAGTTCAACTAAAAGAACTTGAACTTGAACTCATTTACCCCATTCTGGGTCCTTGAGCAAGGCTCTTGACCCCCCAGCTGCTCCCTGGGTGCCCTAGATGGTAGTCCTCTGCTCCACATGTGTGCGCTCACATGTATGATGGGAAAAACAGAGAATTTATTTCCCCATTGGGGATTAATAGAATATAACAATAATTGAAAAAGGATTACTTGTTAAATTGAATGTTGAAATAAATGTGACACTCAGTTAAAGTTTAATTTGGTTTTTTTTTGTTTTTTTTAGGATTACCAGACTTGGTTGGACCTGAGGGAATTCGAGACTCGCTGTGGCGAGCGCTACATCACCCATGAGAGCGATGATGCACGCTGGGAGGAGTACGCGGATGAGAACAATCTTGTTTACCCTAAACATTTTATCATGGCTCCCAACCTGGATGACATGGAGGAGGACCCCTAGTGGTTAATAGCGTGTACTGCATCATTTGTAATAAGCACGGGGATTGTCGCAGGGACTTTTTGCGAGACGCATTGGGAGCAGCAGAGTTTCCCTCCAGAACTGTTTGTTGTGAAAACAGATCAGAGTTGATCGAGTGGAGAATTCCTCTCCAGATGCTTTGAAAGTGGGAAAAACCCGACAGATTTTGTAGCACGACACATCGCCACAGCGAGCAGGTGGAAAGCCGTGTGTCACAGAAACGCATTAAGCGACTGTCAGGAGAGAGGAGTGTCCTTCCTTCCGTAGTGTAAAGTCTGCAAACATTCCACGGACATGGCCGAAAGCCGAGCCTGAAAACTAAATATGCTAATGTAGGGATAATTCTGGACAGTGTTGCACAATGGTCCTGATGCACAAGAGGAAATCAGCAACCAAAAGAATTTCCTAAACCAGGAGTAAGGGCTCTTTCCACAAGGGATTTACAGTCTGAGAACTCATTTGTTCTCCTGAACTGTTTGTGAATCCGGCCTTTGGCTTGAACTGGAACTGTCACCTACGTTCTTTAATGTTTTTTTTTATTCAAGATTGTGAATTTCTTGTGAGGACCGTATTCCTTTACATGTTAAATGAAGCCAACACACCTCATCAACCTGAGGCTAAAACAAGCAGTGGATTCCTGATGGCAGCATCTGTCTATCTCCCTTCTTTTCTTTATTTGTGCAGTTCTGAAACATTCTGCAAAAGTGTTTATGTTCATAGCTACATAGTTTTCTTTGCTTTGTTATCTGACCCAGCTCAACATCATTTCAGTCAAGAACAGACAAGAAAGAGTCCACACAGGGATTCATAGCCCTACAGTCTTGTAGTTTGTCTTGTTTGGGAGTGTTTCAGTTTTCATTTTGTCATTTTCCCACCTTTCTTTGCCACTGGATTGGCAGATGTCAGTGTTTTGTATATTTCAGTGCATACCAATGGAATTAAAACTCAAAAGCAAACAAACCATCTGTTTTAAAGCTCTCAATTCCTTTGTGCTGTTTCTTTAACGAGTTAGTGCAAAGACCAGCTTTAGATTTGTGCACAGAAACACCTGAGGTTTGTATTTTGTGCATCATGCTGAGCGATGAACACAGTGTGTGGTGGTTTCACTTGTCAGAAACCATTTTCAGCAGCTGGATGTGATTGTTGAGCCACACCGAGCAGTTTGCTCACCGCGAAGCAGTAATGACACAGTAAAAGAGGGTGGTGGGGAACAGGGTGGGGGCTTGTGGAGGACTTTGAAATCACTCATGATAAAAGCCCCTGGACATTTATTTGATTCTAGCATCAAATAACTGCTCGGCTCCAGTCTGAATGAATAAAACGTCCTTTTTAAAACTGCTTTTGAAGAGAATATATATCATTAAATACGAGTTAAAAGACATCTGTCGTTATGTTAGAACGATTTTAATTCCAACTGAACACAACTAGAAGTCATGGAAACAATTTCTGTTTTTATTGAATATTTTGTTTATGAATGCTTTCCTCCATCTGTCTATACAAGGTTTCAAAAGAAACTGCTGCAGGGACGTTTAGGCACGGATCACTGAGGTGATTTGAGCATTTATTTATTTTTGTCTCATATTTGTTTATCAGAGAAAAAAATATTTATTTGTTTTGCTTTTATTGAAACAGAATTATCCCATAGAGATATGCATTTCTTAAGGGAGTCAACATGGCGACGTAAATATGAGCAGGAAAAACTGTTCCATGTAAAAGTTTTGTTTTCACAATAATAATAAAACCTATTAGAAATGTCCATATAATATAAAATGAAACAAAAACTAAACATCAGGGAAAGACATAAGAACTATAGGAATATTTAACAAGATGAACACATACATGATATAAACACAGAAAGAAATAAACATTGCAGTTTTCTTTCTGGCTGCAAATGAAATTATTTATTTAAAAACCAACTAATAATGTTGCAGACGTGAAGATGTGAAAATAAGTTAAAAAAATATGATAAAGCCTCTCTCTGCTGGCAAGAAGTCTAAAAGTCAACAATTCTTATTTTAATTGGTATTTTCATTGCATAGGCTTAATTTAAAATTGACATTCCTCAGACTTTTTTAAACTTGATAATAAATCCTGCCGTAAACGTAAACCATGTGTGAAAACTACACATGACACTTGAAAAAGTCAGGCGTTTTACAGATGTTAAATGACCACTGCTGAAGATGTTTTAGTTAATGGTTCATTCTTTCTCCTCTCTGACTTTATTGTAGTTTTGTGTGCAAGAAACCGACAGACACAAGCTTCTTTAAACAGGGCATTTTTAACGTGTTGACTCTTTGGATGCATTTTTGCCATATTGTTGAAATTGTTCAAATTAACTCCCTAAAACAACTTTGATTGTAATGACAGAAAATATGCTGTAGTCAGCATGCATAGTTTATGATATGAAGCTCCATTTTCAGTAGCTGGATTATGCTTACTCAGTGCATTGTATTTTTTTTCTTAAGGAAACAGTTCTCTCTGTCACCAGTAGGTGTCACTCTCGGGTGGTTAGTTCACTTTAAATATGTGAAAGCTCTACTGCGGAAGTATGTATGATTTGATCATGTATACAGTAATATAAATTAAGAATTTGGCCATATAGATTAAAATTATTTATTTTTCCACACAGTACTGGATGTTTCTCCTAAAGTTTTGCCATTTATAACAAGCTGGTGCAGACATTTGAGTGTTTTAACAGTATGAATTAAAAAATATATATATTTTCATGAATAAAATTTCTTCTAAATCAGCATCCTTTCTGTCTGATCCAAGTGTGTGTGTGTTGAGCAGCTTCTCCAATTCTCAGCTCTCTTACCTCCCTTATGCCGCTCCTCCACCTGTTCACCTCCTCTCTCTCCTCTTCTTCTCTTTTTTTTACTCCATCCTGGATATCGTGCTTGAAACCAAACAAGCAAACAAACAGAACAACAGAAAAGCCCATCACCCAGACAAGGTTGGTCTGGGCTTGAGGGAGAGATGGGGGAGAGATCTTGTTTGCTTACTGGGCCAGTTCCATTTCACTGTGATGGCAGAGGAGGCCTCCCAGGACAGTCTACACCCACACTTCTGTTTGACTTCTGGAGCGGGGAATCAAGTCAGTCCTCAGTCCACACTGGCACATCATCTTCTGACCCAATATGCTGCTGGCTGAAGCCATAGGCCTGTAGCCTTTACCTAAGCTGCTCCTTTTCTTCCTTAGCCTGCTCTTTATTTGAGAGACTTGTTGGTGCGTCGTTTGACTGATGACCTTTTGTCTTTTCATTGTGAAGATGATGACCAGTCAATTGAGAAGCATAACTCAGAATTCAAGCCAATTTAAAATTAAATAGTTAAAATATGGTGATAATACACTTTCTCAGGATATTTGTTCAATATTGAAGCAACAAGGTAAAAAATGTCAATAGACTGTCTATTTACTGTCTTATTTTCACATATTTTTGCTTTCCAAAAAAACAACTGGACTTTCATTCTAGTTTTATTTTACAGATGTACCATATTCTGAATAATTAGGAATCTTCAGCAGCATATGTCCCCCCCCCCCAAAAAAAAGCTAAAAAATCTGACAGTCCAAAAGACACAAAGTACACTGTAAACAGAAAAATGCACTCCGAGCATTATTTTTTTAGTTTATTTGCCCAAAACACTGGCATTAACTATTGGCATCACCCTGTTTGTTAGCAAAATATCTCATGAATCCCTGAATAACCAACTCAACGACTGGCTCTAACGCGATCAGATTTACAGATGTTGAGCTAAATTCAGTGTTGTGCATGCTGAGAGTTTTCAACTCAAACTTCAATCACGAACGGGTCTTGTGAGCTCTTGCAACATTGCACGAGATTGTGCAGGTCTTTTACAAAGCTTGACCAGAAGGGGTATCTTCTTGTCTTATGATCTTAGTCTAAAACTGTGATATGAACAACGTTAGGCGATATGCATTGCTTCAAAAAAAAAAAAAAAATTATGGGATTTTAATTCTTTTTAATTTTAGCAGTTGAAAATCCCCCAAACTGTGTTTGACAAGGCCGTGTGTGTGAGGCGGCTTGTAAATGCGTCTTTTGTTGTGAAATGTTTTGAAAAAAGGAAATAAAAACTACAAGCGGTCTCCTTTTCTGGGAAAATGCAGATGTGCTACACAGGTATGTTTGATTTGCTGACTCCAGCTGTGCCTGCCCCTGACCCATCCTGTGGACCGGCTGGTGTGTGAGGCCACATACCCACCCCCTGTTGCAAAGCAGGCACAATACACAACCGCCACCTCCTCCTCCTTTTCTTTCTGAAAAAGGATGGTCATTGAACTCTCAGGCAAGTGGCAATATTTGCTCACCTGAAACACACACATCTTGCCAAATAGGGTAGGGGTGGGCTCAGAGAAGGCCTCCTTGATGCAGCTGTGCCCCACAGAAAGACCAGACCAGGAAGTTATGTGGCTAAAGGGGCTGTTTAGAAGTAGTTGCCCTATTGTGTCTTGAAGGAGGCAGGGACCTTATTTATTCGAAGCTGCAGGAGGCTGATGAGGTGCTAATCTGTTGAGAGGCTGTGTCTCAGAGCTCCCGTTCCCAAGAGCCTGTTAGCTGTCAAGGCTTGTTAAAAAAAATGGCACAATTTATGGGCCCCAAGCCATCAGGGTCCACAGGTAAGCAAACACAGATTGGACACTTATGTTGTTGCTCTGGAAGGGCAGGCTTTTACACCGGGCTCCTGGGGTGACACTGTCTTTGAGTCCCCCATCACCACCACCACCCTGTACTCCTCAGTAAACACTACAAATTAGCTATCTGCATATGGATGTGCTCGTAGACACCCCAGGAAGGAGGTTGAAGATATCAGCTCTCTGAAACGAAGACCAGAGATCAAACTTAATTTTTGTTTTTATGTATGTAACAATGGGGTTCAGGCCTTTTTAGATTACAAATGTTCATTGTGTGGCTCGGTGAAACGTGAGAATAATGAAAAAGCAGGGCTGACCTGTTGTTTGGGATGAGTTCAGGTCAGCAGTCAGGCGTAATCCTGAATTTTCCCCTCCGCTTGGAATACAGATTAGGCAGACCCTGACTCACTGACTGACTGATGGAAAAAGCAAAGCTGTGATCCAGCAGGTTTGATTAGACATCAATCTCACCGAAACCCATAAGAGATGCCACCAGTTGCCCCC